TTGATCTCATCCATGTACTTGTCTCTCTCCATTAGACGGAATTCTTTGAGAGAAGAATAATTGTCTTATTCAGCTCTACATTCTTAGTATTTAAAACAGTGACTGACACCTAGGAATTGATCATTAATTGTCTGTGGAATAAAAGAATCTCTTTTTCCAACCATAGGTCCCACGTTCTTTTTGCTATCCCTCCTTGCTTCTGATCTCACTTTGGAGACCCCAACCATGCAAACTTTCCCTGCTTCTCTTAATGTTTATGAAAATGATTAGGTCTGGAAGCAGTTACCAACAACGCTGGTCTGTGTTACCAACAAGGCTGGTCTGATTCCCAGGTAGAGCCAGAGGGTCTCAAGGTTCCCAGGAAAGCTCTGCTTCTAGTTTACTGGATAAATCCTGAAATACTACTGGATAATTCCTGAAATCCCACTAATATGATGTTATGGATTGAATTGTGCCCCCCCAAAATGTGTGTCAACTTGGCTAGGCCATGATTCCCAATACTGTGTGATTGTCCACCATTTTGTCATCTGAAGTGATTTTCCTATATGTTGTAAATCCTACCTCTATGATGTTGATAAGGGGGGATTAGCGGCAGTTATGTTAATGAGGTAGGACTCAATCTACAAGATTAGGTTGCATCTTAAACCAATCTCTTTTGAGATATAAAAGAGAGAAGCGAGCAGGGGCAACTTGTACCACCAAGAAACAAGAGCTAGGAGAATAGCTCATCTTTTGGACCCAGGGTCCCTGAGCTGAGAAGCTCTTTGACCAGGGAAGACTGATGACAAGGACCTTCCCCCAGAGCTGACATAGAGAGAAAGCCTTCCCCTGGAGCTGGCACCCTGAATTTCGAATTCTAGCCTCCTAGACTGTGAGGCAACCCTGGTGACGCAGTAGTTAAGAGCTATGGATGCCAATCAAAAGGTCGGCAGTTTGAATCCACCAGGTGCTCCTTGGAAACCTTATGGGGCAGTTCTATTCTATCCTATAGGGTCACTATGAGTCGGTATTAACTCAACGGCAAAGGGTTTGGTTTTTTTGGCGGGGGGTTAGACTGTGAGAGAATAAATTTCTCTTTGTTGAAGCCATCCACTTGTGGTATTTCTGTTACAGCAGCATTAGGCAACTAAGACCTATGATTTCATTTTTGAGATACTGGTCTCCACTACAATGCAAAACCCCCTAGGAGGGTAAACTCTTTAAACAGCTATCATTTACTTCAGAGCCTATCTTAAGAACAGTTTTTGGTAAGTGGAAGGGCCTGCAGTTTTAAGGAAGAAGAAATGTGGGCAGCATGGGAAACCCGGAAAAGGACAAACTTCACCTACTTTTAAGCTTTGTTGGGGTCCATATGTGCCTGAGCTTCACTTTTTCCCTGTTCCCTTCTCCTTTCCCTGCAGCCCCAATCAGATTCTGAGCTAAAAGGAAAAATGGTTGGGGGTTGTGAGAAGAGAACCAAACAAATTGCCACAGACTGACTTTCCCTTAGTCTCTGGCGTCTCAGTGTTACTAGAATCTCTGGAAAGGAAGGAACAGACAAACCTCTGGCCAGTACATGTGTTCTGCCAAATGCCAAAGTTCAAAGTGTTTTAGGAGATGTCTTCGTTATTTAGTGCTGCTGTAACAGAAATACCACAAGTGGATGGCTTTAACAAAGAGAAATTTAATCTCTCTCAGTCTAGAAGGCTAGAAATCCGAATTCAGGGTGTCAGCTCCAGGGGAAAGCTTTCTCTCCTGTCGGTTCTGAGGGGAGGTCCCCTGGTCTAGGAGCTTCTCAGCGCAGGGACCCCGGGTCCAAAGGATGCACTATTCTCCTGGCTCTTTATTTCTTGGTGGTATGAGGTCCCCTGTCTCTCCGCTCACTTCTCTCCTCTATATCTCAAAAGAAATTGGCTCAAGACACAACTCAATCTTGTAGATTTGAGTCTTGCTTCATTAACATAACTGCTGCCTATCCCATCTCATTAACATCATAGGGATAGGATTTACAACACGTAGGAAAATCGCATCAGATGATATCCACAATACAGGGAATCATGGTCCAGCTGAGTTGACAGATATTTTGGGGGCACACAATTCAATCCATGACAGAAGCAAATAGAAGTAATGAGACTTGGGGCTCACACAGTAAGGTCTCTACCAGCAGCTAACAGTGTTCCCAAATGTCCTCTTGCCTCTTTTGGGCAAGTACACCATTTAAGAATAGTACCCATTTTAAATTAATCACACATCACTTTTTAAACAGACACTGAAAACTGAGTTCTAAAAAGTTATCAACCTGTACATGTGGAGATTGTAGAAATGGTAAATGTTCTGTTACCTACAGACTTACCACACACACACACACACACACACACACACACACACACACACACACACACACTAACGTTATCAAACAGGCATTTGTTAGGCAGGACAGCTGCCAGGCCTATTGCAACACCCCTACTGCCTCAGGAGTCCCTGATGGAAGTAGCAGCTGACTCCTACAACCTAGGATAACTTGATCAACGTGACCTTTAATAACTCACCCAAAAGCAGAGATAAGGTATTCCACCACAACTTACAACAAACACACACAGTCCCGTGGCCTAAACGACCAACTCACACAAATAGTAGCCTCTGATTTTAGAGTTATGTAGTTGTGCTGAGCAGTAGCCTCCAGCCTCTTGACAACTGCCAGGTCCCTTCTCTGCCTCTGGCCTTTCACCTGCCAGCCTTTGAGGGATTCACAACCTGCCCACACAGTTGACAACTCAAAAAGCCAGTTAGATGAATGGTGAAGGGTTGCTTTTTGTTTGTTTTTCTTCACATCTTGGCACAGTGAGGCTATGTTGAAACAGAAAATAGGGTTTTGAAAATTTTTTAAAAACTATTTCATTAAAATGCATCTAGTGTTTACACAGTTATATTTAAAATACAACAAGGAATTATAGTCTGTTATTAATGAACATCATATTTTCGTCAGGAATTTTAATACGTGTAAGAGCAATTGCCAATTGAAAAAAAAAAATTTAAAAAAATGTTCTGACGGCTTGAACTTGAAAGTCATTCCCCCTTCCCTGGATTTTGTTCTATGCCTCTCCCTCAAGCCAATAGTGTCCCCTCACATAGACACAGGAAGCATAGGTTTGCCTTCTAAGGACTCCAGTGTTGGTGTACTTCCTCCTTTCTACAGAGCATGTATGTTTAATCCTGTCCTTGGGATAATTATATAATATGTGATGGAGAGGACAGACTAGAAAATCTTTAAGTTCCTTTCTAACTCTACCATTTTTTGGCTCTATAAGCATGAAACTTATTCAGTAACAGAAGTAATGGTTAAAGGAGGATGAAACTCTTCATGAAAAGAAGAATCACTGATGGCTCCAGAAAGCAGGTACACTATTGATTCAGGCCGAATGGGGACAAAGTCCTACTGACAGGCCTATATTTCCAAACAAAGATAAAGATTAAACATTCACCTTTCTACAAACTCTGGGCTTTGCACCCACTGTATCTTTCCCAGGTATTTCAAGGTATTCTTTTGAGAATAATTGTTTATAGAGATTGCTCTTTGCTCAAAAGCCTATTAAATGAAAACTCCTAAAGACAGTTTTCACCGGCCTGCATTGGTTCACTTTCTTTTCCATCTATTTTATGAATCACATTGGCAAATGCTTCCAACACTAACTTGACAAACTTCTTACTTTTGCCTGCATATAACCTGACATCTGCTCTTTTTACGATAGCCAAAGTGACTTCTCTTTTCCTGGAATACTTTTTCCCATCCCCTCTGCCAAACTGTAGTCCTTTTACACATTACTGGAGTAACTTCTTTTATTTAACAGCCATGTTACTACCAGTTCCCCCTCCTGCAAACAGTCATAGCATCAGGGAGGGAGAGACATTGGAGATCATCTGCCAGCCCCTCATTTCACAGATAAGGAAACTGAGGAACAAAGAAAGAGAATATGACTTGCCCAAGGTCACAATGGTGTTCCTGGGACTGTAAACTTTCCAATGTGCCACATGGCTTTTAAATCCCATACCAGTAATTTCTAGAAAATCAAAGCTAATTTTGAAAGTGCCACTGAAAGTTGCTGTTGAAAGGAAACCCACAGTGGATATTTCCTGAAATTAAAAATGTTTTACTCTCCCTTTTATCTACTCTGTAAAAGTTTGCTTGAATTAAAGTGTGTCTGTAAACACAATTACCCTCCTGCACTAACTAGATAGTAGCTATTTAGTTAGGTAGGTCTTTGAATAACTGAGGCTGCTTCTGGGAAGGTGGTCATGTACTGTTCAGATAATTATGTCACTTGAGTTTCTAGTGATTATATTTACCAACTGATTATAAGGTTCTTAATGTCAGGACGGAACGGTCTTGGTTCGCTTGAGATTTCCCTGGCCCCCAGCATGGTGCTGAAACTATTTTTACTGTCATTCCTAAATAAAGATGCTCTATTTTACCCATGTGCTATTACCATTTGATGTGCTGTCTCAGAGTAAGAAAGTGGAGGATCACAACGTTACAGTAAGAAAACTCTGAGAAAAAGCTGTTGGCAAAGCATCTGCAAGAATTCCACAACACTGGCTGAGGGTGGGTTAAGGGTGAGGACAAAAAAGGAGAGTAAACAGAAAAGGAAAACACCAGTCTCCAAATGTCAGTTATGTTTGAAAAAAACTGGACAAGGCCTGCTTCTTAAGTCTGGTGACAAACCTGGGTTCGAAGCAAAGAATCCTTAGTTTTGCGGAAGTGCAGGCCTCCCCCGATCTCCCTTCGGTTCCCTGATTCTGTGGTCTCCCTCTGAGCCTGGGTTCTTTCTAGACAATAGAGCACTCACGCTGGCATCTCTGCCCAGTTGCGGAAAGCAAACATTGAAGTGGGGATGTAGAATCACTAACTCGTACAAGAACTAGACTTATACCTCTCTCTCCATTCCTCAGCTCCTCCAGTCCGGTCCCGCACCTTGCCTCTGCTAGAAGGGACTCCCTCGGCCTAAACGCTCTGTCGAACTTACCAACGACAAGAAGGAGGAGTGTGAACCCACCTCAGCCTCAGAACAAGGAGGCAGAAACGGGCAGCACTGTGGAGAGCGGTTTTCCTCACTTGCTTCTTCCTTCCTTGTACGATGATGGGGAGATGGTAGATGTTCTTTTGAATCCTGCTCTGGATCCGAGTGGGGTGGGCGTGATTCGTGTCGTGTTGTGTGTGTGTGTGTGTGTACAAGGGCGGGGGTAGGGGTGCAGTGAGGGGACGAGAGTCGCCGTACGAGCCTCTCTGTAGGACCGCGCCGGGTTTGCCTTGGCCCGCCTCCAGCAAAGGCTTGGCTGGGCTTCCGGCGTCGGGGAGCCTGCGGAGCGACCGGCAACCCCATTCCAGCCTGAACCGCAGTGCCCGGGCCTCGGACAGAGGGAAACCCTCCGCAGATCCCAAAAGTGAGTCGGCCCCTCGGAGGAGTCGCCTGGGAGACGTCGAGGAAACCAAGCAGTTTGGTCCTGACGCAGGTTATAAGCCTGGTCTGCCACGAGTTTATTTAGCGCCGTTGACTTTTGCAGGAGAGTCTAAGAACGTAAGAACTTTTGTCCACCGTTGCCACTGAGAAAAAAAAAAAAAAGTTAAGAAACCGGGCTCGTCCGGGATTTGAACCCGGGACCTCTCGCACCCAAAGCGAGAATCATACCCCTAGACCAACGAGCCGCCGAACAATGAACTTCCTTGTACTTCCTCTGAATTTCATTTTTTAGCCAGCAACTGGCTGCCAGACTGCTCCAGGCTTTTGTTTCCTGTTGGGAAATTCCCCTTTTGCCGTCTTTTAGTTTTTCCTCCCATCTTTTGTGAGTTACACGTTCTGTCTCTGGCCCTAGTCTCGCTTGCTCTCCCCATCCACATCCTGGACCTCTCTAGACGCATGGTTGGGGTGAGGGAGGGCAGTTTTTCAGACTTCAAGCCACACGGTAGGACTCCACGGAAATCCACCGGACTGGTCTAGCCGCGTGCTTGAGCCTGGCGGGATCCTGGAGGGAGACAGAGGGGAGCCCAAGGTCCGGCGCAGAGATCATTTGCAAGGGTGTGGGGGTTCTGATCTCCAGTTCAGATGCGCGAGAAGTTTATCTGTCCGACTGCTACTATCTTGCATGAACATAAAATCCTAGAGCCAGGACTGGTGGACATCAAAACACTGGAGCCGGAGTTGGCTGGGAGTGAACCAGTCTGGCGCGTATTTAAATATTCCTCAAATCAGACCCCTCGTAGTTTCCCTGAATGTGAATTAAGGTTTGCATCTCCCCCACGTTTGCTTAAACTATTTCCTCGGTCTGGAATTCTCTCTCCCAGTCTCATCCGAACTCACGTCAAATCTTATTCCTCCTTCCTGCTCTGGCACCACGTCTTTTTGTGAACTGTATAAAATATAGTTTATATATATTTAAACAGATAAATAAAAGCGCCATGGAAGGCCCTCCCCGGAATGGATGTGTTTGTATAGAGTGGGGTCGGACGCTTGGGCTGAAAAATCAAAGTTAGCAAATCACAGGCCCTCACGCCGCAAGGCCCACACGCGCACACACACAATGTTCTGCACCAAACAAAGGTCCCCGACCTTTGGGCCCATGCAGTGACGTAAGATCAACTGGAAGCCAAAAGAAAGGGCACCTTCGCTAAGGTAACCTAGAACTTCATCCTTTTGGCTGGAGGAGTTGGTCGGGGTTCCTTCTCACTGTTTCAGAAACGTGGTTAACAGAATCAGTTTTTCAAGCTGAGAGAAGGCGAAGCTCAAATTCTTGGGAGGGGGGTGAGGTTGGAGAAAGACTTCAGAATACAGATAACCACGGAAGAAACGTTTCTCAGTGGGTGGCTACGAAACCTAAAACAGGAACTTTTCCTTCGAGCCGGAATCGAACCAGCGACCTAAGGATTACTGCAACGAAGAAGTACTACAGTCCTCCGCTCTACCAACTGAGCTATCGAAGGAGGCACAGAGCAGGTTTTTCTAGAATCCCCTTTTCAGGGACATCAACAATAGTCGGCGTGCGATAGTCTTCCGGTTGCTGGGGACTACGCTACGGGGTCTCAAAGGCTGGTGTGAAAGCTGTATATTCGCAGTTCCAGGGACAACCCTTCTAGACCTGGACTCTCCTGTTTCACTGAGGGGCTTCCATGCAGAGCCAACCCGTAGGCTCTCTACAGGCACCTTACGGCCCATGCATCCCAAGGCTTCACATTCTTTGCTCGCCCGGGTGCTGTTGGCGTCACTAACCGTGCGGGCCCGGGACGCAACTCCAAGTTGGGTAAAGGAGCCAGGGCTCAGGCCTGGGGCTCTTCTCACCCTCACTTCTTGTGCTCGCCTCGTAATCCAGGCGCATCTACACAGGCAAGCTTCATTTCTTCCGTTTACGCGTCCATAGACTCGGGCAAGGGAAAGGCAGGAAGAACCTAGATACTAAAAGTAGATATGGGATATAGTGCATGTTCTTAAACCCAATGTTTCTGTGAGAATTCACTTTGGAGAAAATATTTTTGTTTTTTTTTTCAAAGGGGAAGCCACAATTTTTGGTCAGTATCAAACTCAGTGCGCCAAGTCCCGCCCCCAAAGTGAGGGCCCTTAATTTTCCCGCTGAGATACTGAAGTGTCTGGAAACCCACTGGAAAAATCAAATCTTGCAGGACGGCCTACATTCTTCAGGACGCCTAACTGACGGCTGTCGCCCGCTTCTCCTTCGGAAACGACTTCGCACTCTTCTCCGAATCCACCCAGGGCGGGTACCGCGGTTTCAACCCACTCTCTTTCGCGGTTGCCCTCATTCTGGCTCCGGAACGCCGGGTTTGAGGAACCGGTTCCTACCGCCAGCAGGGTTCTCGGCGTCGGTACACGCAAGCGTCTACGGAGGCTGGCGGCGTTTCTCGCAGCTTGTAATGGTCGCCGCAGCATTCCAGGTCGTAAAAGCAGCATTTGAGCACAAACATTGGAACATAAAAGGAAGCGGGTACAGCCCAATGGGTGGTTTATTCGAGAGATCTGAACTACGGAGAGAAGCTGTAATTGGTTGAATTTTTTCAGGGATGAAGGGTAATGAAGAAAGAAAAAAACCTTATCAAAGCTTTAGAGGCCCCAGCGAGATTTGAACTCGCGACCCCTGGTTTACAAGACCAGTGCTCTAACCCCTGAGCTATAGGGCCTCCTCGCTAAACGTTTTGCTTCTTTTTTGGAAAAGGATGGTTTTGTGTAGTTGTTGGGCCTTTATTATTAGAGTATCTGAGTGTAGGAAGCAAACAAAACTAGAGGTCATTTTAATCCATTCCCCAGCTATTGGAACTCAGTGTGCAGGTTCTTTCTCGTCTTGCTGAGGATGGCGCAATATGGCGGCCAGTAACAGGGACCACGGTTGGAGAAAGTTACCCAACCTGACACAGTCTCACTCAGCGAAAGATTTTTCCCTTCGTATCCTGAAAATTAAGGAGGGAAACCCGGCATAGAGGGAGGAGCCTACCACAGATGTCTCAGCTGAAATCGAGACATCCGCGCTTGCCTTCTCCTTATTCATTGTCTAGCTTTCGCATGCATATGAGAAGATTGAAAATATCATAGCTTGGGTCAGGCGAACCTTAGTCCTCACAGTGACATCTTTGCTTTTTAACACTTTAAAGAGGTCTCTTGCAGCAGATTTGCCCAATGCAATACGTTGTTTGATTTCCTGGCTGCAGCTTCCATGGACCTTGATAGTTGATCCAAATAGAATACAGTCCTTGACAACATCAGTCTTTTCTCCATTTATCATGATGTTGCTTATTGGTCCAGTTGTGAGGATTTTTGTTTTCTTTATGTTGAGGTGTAATCCTACTGAAGGCTGTAGTCTTTGCTTTTTGTCAGTAAGTGCTGCAAGTCTTCTTTGCTTTCAGCAAAGTTGTGTCATCTGCATATCTTGCTGGTTAGACCCTTTTAAAAATAGAAAAGGAGAAGAAGCTGTAGGTTTATGCAAGGGGTGACAACAGAGTCAAGCTTTTTGGAAAACTCATCAGATATGGATATGGAGAATGAATTCAAGGGAGGAGAAACCAGTCAGGAGAACACCAGAGATTGGCCATGGTGCAGATGCTCAAACACAAAGCAGCAGTAGGGTAGCAGTCATGGGACTGGAAATGAGGAAATGAATGAGAGAGATACAGAAGGGAGAGTCACCTGAACTCAAATATGAAGGACAATAAAGAGGAAAGAGCCAGAGAGGACTCTGAGATTTCATACCTTGAAGAAGAAAAATGATGCATACAGAAAAAGAAAAAAAGAAAATCTGCCTGGACAGAGTGGAGAGGTGAAGAAGTGTTAGGATTTAGGTTGGCTAAATTTCAGGTAGGATGGAGCAGTTCTTGGGAATTCTACAATAGCCACTCTTGTGTCTAGAATTCCATAGACTGATAGATCAAAACAAACAAACAAACAAAAAACCAAACCTGTTGCCGTTGAGTAGATTCCAACTTACAGCTACCCTATAGGACAGAGTAGAACTGCCCCATAGGGTTTCCAAGGAGCGCCTGGTGGATTCGAACTGCTGACGTTTTGGTTAGCAGCTGTAATAGATCAAGGGGACGTCAAATTACTTAAGTCACACATTGAATTAGAGCCTCCAAGAGTTATGAGCTCTTGAAGGAAGGAACAGAGCACAAAGAGAAAACAGTGAGGCCTAAACACGAGCTTTTGGAGTAGTCCTGTTGCAAACATTCATCATGTTAATGACTATCCAACATATTTTAAACATCATTTTGCATTTGTAATTTCACATATTTGAAGTAAATCTGTCCTAGAAAACTTGCTTTCCCAGCTGTAACATTGACCTAGGTTTCACCAATCAGATACATCCAGGGAAGATTTCAATTTAGAAGTGTAAATTAGGAGTAAATGAGCCCACAGGGAAAGTCCATGTTTTTCAAATATCATGAAATATCATGGTGTAGGTGTCAGGTAAGAGCCCTGGTGGTGCAGTGGTTAAGCACTTGGCTGCTAACCAGAAGGTCTGCAGTTGGAAAGGTTGGCAGTTTGAACTCACCAGCCACTCCATGGGAGAAAGATGTGGCAATCTGTCTCCATAAAGATTTACAGCCTTGGAAATCCTATGGGGCAGTTCTACTCTGTCCTATAGGGTCTCTGTGAGTTGGAATTTGACTCCACGGCAATGTTTTTTTTTTTTTTGTACTTTAGGTGAAGGTTTACAGAACAAATAGTTTCTCATTAAACAG